CCCCCCCCCCCCCCCCCAACCCCCAACCCCCAACCCAAAAAAAGAACACTTTTCTCGCATTCATGTTTGTACTATAACAACATTAGTAATAGATCACAGTCTGATGATAGCTTCATTAAAGAAGATCCTTCAGCATCAGAATATGGAAGATAAACAAACATTTGTTCAGTAGAGCTCTTTCAAAACTAAAGTGCAGAATCATCTGTTTGGACCAAGAGAAGTGTTCATCTATGACATCCATAAGTAGATGCTGTGTATACAAGAACGAATAACAGACAGCTGATGGACAGCAATGATAGAAGGCTCTTGAACTACTCGGTCAGAAGAAGTGAAACTACCTCAACTTTATGATTTTAATAACATATTCCACCCTCGTGTAAAAGTAAAAAAATTCATTCTCTTCCGCATAACCCTAGATTAGAAAAGGAGTTCAAACCCTAGCAATCTTCCTGTTAATCATATGTTTTGATGCTGCGACTTGTTAATGATACTTGATAACCTGATTGAGTCATTTGTACATTGTAGGGTTTAGATCTTAAAATCAAACAATTTTATTGTATCCGGCTGAGATTTTCATGTTACTTCATCAGAATATGTTGCTGGTGCTACCAAAGATAACTGCAACTCTTAAGGTCAAGCACAGATTGAATTGTGCGGTTGCTCACTGAAGCAAAAACTCTACCCTTCTTTGGTTTAGAGCATTATTACTTACTAATTCACCAAACATAGAAATTTTCCAAGCCAAGGAAAATTGATGCTTTATGTCTAGATTGCTATGTTTTATTTGATGCTTGTTTGTATCTTCAGATATTTTTCATATTAGTTAAAATTCCAAATGTTTTCTTAAAATAACAATGATAAGTAATAAATCTAATTGATATTAAATTAAAATAATTTCTAATTAATTTTAGAGAGAGGGACTTTGCCAGTGCTGGAAGGGGGTAAACACCAGCAAGGGTCAGGTGGCATGGGGTAGAGTGGCTAGGGTTAGGGCTTTGGATCAAGGAGTGGAGAGAGCGGCGTAGTCTCCTCTGCTGACCTCTCCTGTCATGAGAGACAATATTTTTTACATTTTACCCTCCTATGTTAGATATAAAGGTGTTAAAACCAGAATGGTATGGGGGTAAACAATATGGGAGATTTGGGGTGTAAATCTGCACAGATCCAGATTTGCTAGTTAAACATGCAAATACAAAAGATGTGGAGGGTATACATGTCAAAAAATCGCTTTATTTTTTATAAAAAGCTTATAAATCAAATGAAGCTCTGCAACCCCTTTTTTTAAACAAAAATATTTACAAACTCTAAAGATCATAGATGAATAAGCTTGAACAAATGAAAATTTAGTCCTCATTGTGTCAAAATCCTCCACAGACCATAAACACTGATTGAACATATCTGAACAGAAAGAAAATCTAGTTTTACTAGCTTCCGCATCTTGCAAGAGCAGTGATTAGAATCAAACCCCTTTATTCTCAGTGAATATTATTTTTCATTTAGAAATGCTAGCCGCAGAGGACACTTGCAATAAGAGAAGCGTCTTTCAATCACAGTGCATAAATTTTTGCTGGATATGACATATAGATGATACGGATAATGCATTAGGGGAAGTTGTTGAATTTCATTGTACTATATAAAACTTGATAAAGAGAGAAGAAAGAGCTCCTGTAACAAAGGCTATGAATAGAATGGGAAGCATGCCTTGCAACACGAGTAGTTGACCACAACGTGTAAATGATACAGTAATTTGAGATATATACAACAATTTTCTGGAATCATCATTTATCAGATTTAACTGAGAGTATATCTTATTGAAAAGGTTGAATGTTTTGATTTATTGATTCGAATCTCCACATAATTACCAAGATTGTAAATTCATTTGTACAATATACTATTTCTTACGTTTAATTTCTATAATACAATGTCAACCGAAGAAATCTGTCTCTGAAATGAGTTTCTTGGATATCGATGGTATAACATTTTGTCAGATAACAATTTTACACAATAGAGAAATGGGCTGGGGGGCAAACTGTATGAACCAATCTTAACAATTACCAATCAGATAGGGGATTCAAATCCAAGATTCTCTACCTTAGAATATTTTGTCCTCCACCAACATGTGTCCTTGTCCTAATTATTGTTCCCTCCACCTGGAGTATTACACTAACTACCACGCCTAATGTACCCTTCATCCCAACTAAGCACATCCTTTTGCCTACAGAAACAATAACCATGTTAAACGGAATCTTCTTACTCATCAGTAGCAATCATCAGAATTTCACTTTGAACTGGATTTTTGCATCAACCAAAAAGGTCATTGTGGCATTGTAGATTTGTATGTGGTGGAGCACTACCATCAGTAGTCATCAAAAAACCTAATCATGAGGACAGTCAATTCTCAGGCGAAAATATCTGTCCTTCCTATTGTAACAAAAAAGCTTACATCACTAAAAAAAGCCCACTCGCGGGACTTCAATGAAGAATAAATGGGATTCAAAACCAATATCCATGTACATTGATTTAACGAATAATGATTCAGTCTTTTACAAGTACTAGGTGCCTACAAACATTTGCCTGTGCGAATTTAAAAAAAATAAAGAATTTTGACACATCAAAGAATTCTCAAAAATGATTTTGACAACATAAAAAAATTATCAAAAAAGTAGCGATTACTAATTAAAAAACAACAATTGCTTACATGATCTGTGTCAACTTCTGCAATGATTTCCTTTATTGTTCTCACATCGCCCATATTATACTTCATCAGAGCTTGCTCCAATTCTTCCATTGTGATGTACCTAGTAAACAGGAATTGTTATTGCTGATAAACCAAGCCTATCACTTTCATGGAAAAATATGGAATGAGTGATATTTTTTGGTGGGAGGATTTACCCGCTCCTATCCTTATCAAAATATTCGAAAGCCTTATATAAATGATCTTCTTTCTCCACTCTATTCATGTGCATGGTAGCTGTTATAAATTCAATGTAATCAATGGTCCCATTTCCATCTACATCAGCCTGGAAGTAAAGCCATGTTCCTTTAATATCGACCAGACAAATACATTATGAAAATTGCAACAATACAAGAAGTTCATAGAAATAGAAACCAAAATTCCCTATTGGGGACTGGATTTTTGCTATTTAATTGTGTTACTAATACTCAAATAGAGTTACATTTTCCAGCTCAACAGTTATTTTCCCAGCTGGTAGACATGTTATTCAGTCATAGCCTACAGAAAAGCTTGAGATACTCGCAGAGTTGATACCTTATAATGTATGTTCTATCAATGTTTTAAAAAATGAAAGAGTTTGAAGTTCCCGTCAACCCGTTATGAAAGTCCCAGAGTACTATCTCAAGTAGCTAATCTGTCAACAGTATGCTACACCGATGCTGTAACAAGTTTCCATAAGCAAGTGATGAGGATGTAATACCACTAAATCAAATTGTCAACCGTCCAATAAAATAAATTTCTACTTAATACATTGTAGGATTTTGTTCTAATGTCCAATAAGTCCTTTAACTAAGTAAGTGCTCTATGATCCGACCCCTACAACTTGGATGCTGCCAAAATAATACTGGAGGAAGACTAATGTGAGCAAGACACTTATCTGTAGTTGCCGTTATGATTTTGCTGACAAGAGGTTGAGTTTACTGACACTAAGTTGGCCTTTGTTAGCTCGTATCTGTAGTTGCAATGCAACTGTCACTTCCATGCAACTGAACTGCTGCAATTGTTACTACATGTAACTACAGTTGCATCAGTTTGATTCAATTCTGCAGTTCAGCTTGCAGTTGTAACTATAGCTTTAGTTGTTTGGTTCAATTTGAAATTTCTCATATGCAACTTATGTTCACATTTAACAAATTGATAAAAAAATTTAAAAGTTCTTATAAAATAGAGTGAGAGATGTAACTTAAACTATGTAATAATCATAATATTCTAAACTAAATAAAGAAAAGATCAAAGTGATAACATGTTAAATCTTGGAACTTCATTTTTCAAGAAATAATGTTTCTTATATTTTTTTTTAAATGAATGGAAGGTGTTTTGTTAGTTTTTTTTTATTTTTATCGAAATTTTTCTTTTCTAGTGTTTTATAAAACAGGTAGTGTTTTAATTTTTTTCATTAGTTTTAGATTTTTTTTTAATTTTAGAA